ACTTTAGTTAACATGAATTAACAATGAGAAGTACAATGAAAAAAAAACATTTATTAATATTAGGCCTAAATGTTATTTTTAACATTTACATTTAAAATCTATTTGCATCTGTTAATATTAGTTAATGGACCTAACATGAACTAACAATGAACAGGTGTATTTTAATTAACTAACATTAACAAAGATTCATAAATGTAACTAATGTATTGCTCAATGTTAGTTGAATGTACACTATGTAACTTTTTGTCATTTAAATGATGAGTCAATACAACATCCTTCTTCCAAAACGTGTTTTTGTCTTACCCTGATTCACTATAGTAAGCCTATAATAAGTGTTTATATTTTAGACCTGTCAGAATGATTTTCGCGGGAAATTGCGTACATTCGTCACTTACCCGTGAGTGACATCATATACGTAAATAAAGAAAAGTTGATCTGGTTACTTTGACGTGTGTATGGTGTGGGAGTGCCATTGGTTAGCTGTCACAATGACCGAGAAAGGTTGACATGGAGCAGCTAAATCTTGAACCTCCGGGGAATGGCCGTTTTAAAAACAAAAACCAAACAGAGGAGAGTATGCTGGGGAAAAGAGAACGTGACAGAGCTCGTAATAAAACAAGAATCAACATTGACTTGGCTTCACGGAGATGGCGGGATTTGAAATGTTGTGAAAGCGACTTGAAGATGTTTTTATTACTCAACAGGTGAGTAAGATATTTCATTGAACTGATAAATTGCCATATGTTTCTCTCTAACAGAGTTAATTTCAAAGCATTATCTATTGTGAAGGGTCATTTCATTACGGTTGTTATGTGGTGTTGTGCTGGAATTTATTTTCAAAGAACACGCGCGAGAGATCACTTCCGGCGCTTGCCGGAAAAGACCGAAGCGCCGGCGCCATCAGATCACTTGGACGTGGCTGTGTTTACAAGAGGTAAAAACGATATAAATACTGTTCGTTTTCTCACACAAACCGCTCGTTTCGTGTCTTAGGCCATCAATGTGTACTTACATTTACGAGTCATTAAGTCATGTTTAATTTGGACTTCTCTGTGCATGCTCTTTGAGGTGGTGACCATAGACCTGCATTATATGACTGACAGACAAGAACGGTTTGACCTAAAAATATCAAAATTGAAACTACTGCGGAAACAAAGACACCTACATCTTGGATGCCCTTGAGGTAAGCTAAAACATACCAAAAATTAATTTCATAGTGAACTATCCCTTTAAGCCTAGTAGTGAATGTTTTATGAGCAGTAAGATAATCATATCCATCTGCAGTCACACAGAGCCGAAGCACAAAAAAAAAAAATGTTTATCCGCAAAATGAATACAGTTTTATTTATTTTTTACGTGCTAGAGGGCCAAAAGTAACATAGTGTACCTTTAAGGCATTAACTAATGGGACCTTATTGTAATGTGTTTCTATACATTTTTCTATAAATTCAGGTCGTGAAATTCAAGTGGCTAAATTCACGCAAGACGTGCCAAATGAGCCAGAGCCCGACACTGTTTCCTTGTCTGTCCTTCTACACATTGAAAATCATAGGATCCTATCGTTCATATGGCACAAGTGGGATGATTCATGATGCTTTGACTGTCACAAAGAACGGTCCACAAGAGCAGCCTGTTGTGTGACCTCTGTCAGGCGAAGGGTGAGAAAATGCTGTCAGAGCTCCGTCAGGCTGCCCTGCTTGTCATGCTGTAGTCTGCTCCCATCTGCACCATATGGCACATATTCACAAGGCTCTGAGAGAGTTGCATCGCACAGCATCATTATGTAAATGGAGATGCTGAGATCGGTGGGGGCCTTGCACACTAGGCCAAAACTTCAGCCTCTTCTCATTATTATGCACACAGGACGGAGCAAACAAAGACACGGCATTATGACGCAGTGAATAATGGAGGCCTTTTAAAAATGGAGACATGGTCGATGCATGTTTGTCTTTTTTTGTCTAGACTCTCTTGGGAATGAGAGCTTTAAATTCTGAAACAGGACTGAGATGTAAACAACGAACTGGGGTTTGAAGGAATCAGGCCTTGAGAATCATTTTATGGGGTGTTTTATGAAGGGGTAAAACTGATCTGTGACATATACTGGTATAATGTATAGCCTGCTTGTTTATACTGTAAGTGGAAGTAGAATTTGTTTGGGGCCCTTTTAGATTTCACTTTTATTTATGGAACATAATATCGCTTCAGCGGAGACCAGGGTCGTTTGCTTTTAGTACAGTGGGAGTATCGGTAGTAAGGACGCAGTTCACAGGACTTTGGCTGCCCATATAAACAATAACATTGGGTTATGGGTATGTGCATCTTATGCCCATTGGTTAGGGTTAGGGTGAAGCTGATAATGAAAACTCTATTGAATGTCTCCCTCCCACGTTACCAATCGTTTTGTGGTGTCTATTTTGGTTTGATTACCAATAGCAACAGGGTTTTTCATTTCACACAATAGGTTTTTACTGTATTCGTTATGAATGTAAGTTAATCTTTGTCGCCCTCTCCTGGCCAAGTGTAGGAGCCCTCTCCATAACTCTAATATTCTGACAGAATTGACTATATTTATTCTTGCAGGGCAGCATGCAACGTTCACAAAATTAACCTTCATTTTCCCTTTAAATTATTTGAGTAAATTCCTCTGACTTAAACCAGATGTATTATTGAAGGTATTAAAGATTTAGAGAAGATATGCACTTTCAAAATGTGACTGTAAGAAACATCATAATGTTGCCTGCAGGTTTGAGGACAATTTAAAAGTATTTGTCCCCTGAAAATGAAAACATAGAAAAAGCCAGTATGAATGAATGAATAAATAAATATAATAAATAAACTAAATAAACTGTCAGTAATGTAGGCTAGGCTACACAGTCTACAGTGTATACACCAGTAAGACAGTCTTGCCATGTAAAAGTTTATTGCATTTATTCCTGTTTAATATCCGGATTCACTGAGACCCCAGACAGATATAGCAAGTTATCAAGTTTGTGATCAGTTTTCTTGAGATTATAAAGATGCTAAACAACATAAAGGTCAGTAAAGGCTTATCTGTGCACAGCCTTGCACTGATGAAATATGTAATATTGTGATCTCACACACACACACACACACACACACACACACACACACGCGTGCGCATGCGCACACACACACACCACATAATGATGCCAAACAACATCTGAACATATGAAGGTTGCCAGCAGAGATCTACAGCATATGTGTAATGTTAGCTTATGTGACTCAGACGTTCATCTTCTCCACAGAATTCCCCCGGTGGCTTAGATTCTCAATAAAAATGTATGTATGGTAATAAATGGAGAATGAAATTTCAGTCCATGCTGATGCGTCTCCACAAGTGATTTTCTGTAATGAGAAAGAGGGCAGGCAACACAAACACCGGACTCATACATAGGTAATTACCTAATTAAACCATGAGTATTATAAACAACGTTATTCTAAAAAGAGATATGGTGGATCATTTTGTTCTCACTGCATCAGACAGTACAACCTTCCCCCATCCTCCACAATATAACCTCACTGGACAGTTCATTTCACACTCTTTGACCCAGTGCATTCATGCATGTGTGTATTCAGATATGCACTTTATGTAACCCCTTCAACTGTTTAATTACACTATTGTATCTAAGTGTGATTGTATGTCTGTCTATCTATCTAGCTATCTATATGTCTGTCTGTCTGTCTACGTAAATATTAATAACTTTTTTCACAAGACACACACTTAATTTCTAAATTCCTACAAGCGTAAAGCTGACTTCACCAGAGAGTGTTTAATATCTCACTACGGCACCGACCTTAGAAGCGACACAATTTGTGTCGACACAATGCTTTGTGATAGTTCAATGTAGTTGATAGTTCATATTAGCATTCTGTTTAGACCCCCACCCAGTTACAAGCCATTTGTTGTCACTGTGTGTCTGGGCTGGTGTTACCCGAGAGGCACCTCACAGCCTCATATGAGATGTAATCTAGCAGGACGGAGCCCCTGGCATGCATGGAGATGACAGTACTGTGATCAGATGCTGCTGTGTCCTTCTCTTCTATCTCAGAGGTATAGGGGGTGCCTGGCCAACTGATGAGAACTGCAGAGGAGCCAGGGGCCATGTATGTAAACACACACACACTGAACTATACAAGTTATATACGATCTGGCTGAGATTAGGTACTTTTGGACATTCTCCAGTCTCCAAAGGCTATAGTAATAAGAGTCCTGCCAGAGTTTTTTACTTGCTTTAACGGTGTCCAAAGACTGACATTGTACACAAAACCGTGATATTTTATTTATGAACTCCTATAGTAGGCCTAGCGTTCTGGCCTAGGTGGTATAGAAATTCAGAGTATTTTGCAGCTGTAAGCAGGGACTCGGCCCTGATGAGCTTTAGTGAGCCATTGTGACTAAACAGACAGGACATTCCTGAGGGCTGGCAGATTTGATAGGCTATAAAGCCCAAACAGACACCCACATGAATAGTTGTTTAATCCCCAGGATCAGCAGCCAATCGTTTACCGTTACAAAAAAAAAAAAAAACGCTTGAAAAAAGTCACATGGCACCTCTCGCTCATTGCTGATGTCAACAATTCCTCTGCGCCAGCTCCTACGGGAGTCCCGAACGGCTGACATACGGTCATCAAAATCACATTATCTTCCCCCGGATAATGTATGCACTCCATTGGCTGAAAAACGAATCCCGTGATTCATTTCAATAGTGATGTTTTGTGTTTCATAATGAGCGATGGATCGTTAACCACATCATTATTTCCATATACGATATCCATTATATCTGCAATTGTGTTTATGCAACTGGTGAAGTACCTGGAATTCTCAGCCGGTGATTTTGACCTAATATTATTTATTTCTGGTTGTCTATCACGAGCCTCCCATGTGGCCAAAGGCAAATCTATTGTATTGGATTGTATTTCTACACTTAATTTTTGTCGATGCATGAACCTGCCAGACACAAAAGCCTATTTTGCAGCCTTTATCCTCCTAAGCTCACCCTCACGTGGTGTCCCACACTCTTTAAATGACCCCTCACCGCCAAAACACATCCAGCTGGAAGCTGATCAATGCACGGCACGGCCGACGAGATGGCATTACAGGTAAGCAAAACACCCTCCGCTAACATGCGAACAGAGTCAGCTCAAGTTTGCTTATCGTGTTTAGTAATGCCAAGATTTTCTAAATTTACAGACGCTAAAATGAACTTAAGCATTTAAACAGAAAGGTGCTGATGTGATTACAGCAGTTTGTGGTCTGGCATATTCAATTTTAATCTCTTAAACCTGGAGCAGGTTTAGATGATAAATATTTGACTTAAAATGTGCACTACTTCTCCAATGAGATGACAAGGTGACTCTTCTGCATAGCTCATTGCCCGTTCTCTCACTCTCGCTCTCTTTCTCTGCAAGCTAAACTAATGATGCTTTAATTATTTTCCATGTGGCTGCACTCAAAGTAATGGGGACATTAAAATAGGCTCAGTTTCGATCTAAAGAACACTCCATCACTACCTGCAAAACACCAGAAATCAGCTCATTTTCCTTTCTAAAGTCATTGAGAGGCTTTTAAAAATCACTGGCTTTTGGTGAAGCTACAAATCTACACTTTTAAAGCAAAAAGTTCACAGATACTGGTTGCTGCTTGCATGCTCTGCATGACATCTCGCGCATATCTTTGCAAACCAGTTATTGGAGCCTGACGCTCAGCGTTGATGTGTGGAAGTGTGACGATTTTTGCAATTTCCCTTCGGTTACCCAAACACCACGTGGCACCAAGCTCTTATGAACGTGGTTCATAATCCAGATAACAGAGCATGTGGCACAGCACAGAAGCACATCTAAGTCTCAGATAAAACAGGTGCTGGCCAATGGAGTTGAATTGATACTGCGGATGCAGGCGGCATCTCATCTCTCTCCTCTCATGTTTTTCCAGTCATCACTGAGTTTATTCCCCGTCTACCTGATTTCTACCAGCTAGCCCAGTATCTTCACATTGCCCTGTTCATGTGTCATCTAAACTGCTTTGTTTTTTGTTTATGCTATGGCTTCATACATTTAGCCATTTGTGAATTGGGATTTTGCTGACCTTACTGGGCAATTAATATTTTGCCTACCACTGCCAACAAAAAAAGGGGGGATTTCTTTCAGCAGTAACGTATGGGATCACTTCCTCAATCAGTTATCTGTGTGAAATACAACTGCTTGCTAGATTATTAATGTCACAGATAGCTTCAGGCCACATTGCTTTAACATCTTCATTTCTTTCTCAAATGGCAATAGCCGTGTAGTAAAACAGAGGTCTATTCATTCCTGATAAAGTCAGAGATGAGATTCCTGTATGGATGCCTGTCGTAATTGCACAATTGTAGCCCCTAGATAGGCTTATAAATCTGCTGATATTTGGTCATTCAGACATTATCAGCATCTCCTTCCACTTGGTACAGTTCCTAAATTTACCAACAGCCTTGTCAATAGACAAAGGCTCAAAAATTATACATTTGGTACATATATTGTATATGTTTAGAATATTTTGGTAAATACTTACTGTGAATTTTGAGAAAGTACTGCATGTGTATTCTGTATTCTGTGTTCATTTAAATTGCTGTAAATGAATTATATTTATTTATATCAGAGGTGTCCAATCCTGTTCCTCAAGGTCCACTGTCCTGCAGAGTTTAGCCTCAACCCCAATTAATCACATTTGAACCAGCTAATCAAAGTTTTAGCTAATCAATTTGGAGCTAAACTGTGGCCCTCCAGGAGCAGGTTTTGACACCCCTGATCTATATATAGTCTTACAGTATACTGGAATTATATCAACCACCCTGCTCTCTAGATATCAGTATTGTCATAAACATCAGCCTTTGAAAACCCCTAAATGGATTGACCCCTACTCTGTACTATTTAGTGAAATTGATTATGCTTGTTATTTTGTATGTTTTTAATCAGTTTGAAGCGTCCTGTCCTAATGGACTATGTCCAGGATGGAGTGTTATCCTGAAAGGAGAGACTCCAGCAGAGGCCAACAAGTAAGTCATCAGCCTCTCTAAAGCTCATTGCCAAATGGAAAAGGAGTTGTCTAAAAAAACCTTGAGTGTTGTGCTAATGGCAAACCATAGATAATATTTGCTTCTTTTATCGCTCTTAAAGGGATAGTTCACTTTGAAATTAATTTTTGATATGTTTTAGCTTACCTCAAGGGCATCCAAGATGTTAGGTGTCTTTGTGTCCACAGTATTTTCAATTTTGTTGTTTTTAGGTCAAACCGTTCTTGTCTGTCAGTCATATAATGCAGGTCTATGGTCACCACCTCAAAGAGCATGCACAGAGAAGTCCAAATTAAACATGATTTAATGACTCGTAAATGTAAGTACACATTGATGGCCTAAGACACGAAACGAGCGGTTTGTGTGAGAAAACGAACAGTATTTATATCGTTTTTACCTCTTGTAATCACAGTCACGTCCGTACTCTGATGGCGTGGGCACCTCTGTCTGCGCAAGCGCCGGAAAGCCCCGGAAGTGATCTCTCGCGCGTGTACGTCACTCATTGTTTACACAGAGATTTCGGACGTTTTACCTTTCACTGTGAAGATCTAAACATATTTAGATATACAGGAAATCGCAATGGAAGACGATTTCGGAAAGAAATTAGAAAAAAAGAGAGATTTTACGTCCGAAATCTCTGTGTAAACAATGAGTGACGTACACGCGCGAGAGATCACTTCCGGGGCTTTCCGGCGCTTGCGCAGACAGAGGCGCCCGCGCCATCAGATCACTTGGACGTGACTGTGTTTACAAGAGGTAAAAACGATATAAATACTGTTAGTGTTCTCACACAAACCGCTCGTTTCGTGTCTTAGGCCATCAATGTGTACTTACATTTACGAGTCATTAAATCATGTTTAATTTGGACTTCTCTGTGCATGCTCTTTGAGGTGGACCCCATAGGCCTGCATTATATGACTGACAGACAAGAACGGTTTGACCTAAAAATATCAAAATTGAAAATACTGTGGACACAAAGACACCTACATCTTGGATGCCCTTGAGGTAAGCTAAAACATATCAAAAATTAATTTCAAAGTGAACTATCCCTTTAAGAATGGACAATGAGATACAGAAGAGATACAAAAATTCTGTGAGATTTTTTGGTAACTTTACAATAAGGTTAATCAGTTAACTACATTATTTAGCATGAACTAATAATGAACTGCACTTATACAGCATATATTAATCTTTGTTAATGTTAATTTCAACTTTTACTAATAATGTATTACAATTTTGTTAACATTAGTTAATGCACTGTGAACTAACATGAACAGCTTTATTTTTATTAACTAACATTAACAAAAATTAACATATACAGTAACAAATGTATTGCTCATTGTTAGTTCCAGAAGCTCTCAAATAACTCATATTGATGAATTACTTATTCATCAGGTTGTTTATAAAGAATAACTGCAATGTAAACTATTTCATAATTGAAGAGTAACAACTACATTAAAGAGTTTGTAGACAAACTTTGATGTTGGCTCGAAAAAGCCTAGAAATTGTAGTTTTAACAGCTTTGACCCTTAAACCGGCAAGAGGGGCAAATGATCAGGAAAAAAGAATATTAATAATAATTTCATGTCACTTTTTATAACATCCAGACTTAAGTTAAACATATCCAAAGGAATTTTAAATATTAAATATAATTAGGATTGTATATGAGTATCTCTCTGTTGCCCTATTAGGGTATAAAAAAGCCAAAGTCATCAATATTTTTATGATTTATTTGATAGAAAAAAAGATTAATATGCAAAATATATAATATTTTAGAAAAATCTAAACAAACTCTTCAGGATTACTTAGAAAATTAGCTGTATCATAAATGGCATTATATGATTAGGGATGGAGCTAAACCCTGCAGGACACTGGACCTAAAGAGCTACAGTTTCCCACACCTGAGGTTGAAGACGAGACAGTTCAGCAGCGTAAAAATACAAGAAATGTGTATGCCTCAACTTTAGGACACTTAAACATATCATACGTGCAGTATATTTGGCATATTACATAGTTTGTATATCAAATATAGAAATATTGATGACTTTGGCTCTTTTTTTTTAACCCAAATAGGGCAACGGAGATACTCATAATTATATCAAATATTAAAAAAATTCCTTTGGATATGTTTAACTTAAGTCCAGATTATGTAAAAAGTGACATGAAATGATTTTTTTTCCACTCTTGCCTGTTTATGTCATTCATCAATATGAGTGATTTGAGAGCTTCTGGGTGATTCTGTTTCAAAGAGAGAGAAAAAAGAATATTTCTACTAATACTTTCATTCTCGCAGAACAGAAGTTTTGAAAAGAGAGAAATGCATTTAGAAATGTTTGTTTTAGAGGAATAATAATAAAAAGCTTAAGTAGTACAGAAAAAGCCAACATAATAAAAATGTCAATACAATCATAGGAGACACGCATGCATGTGGCAATTCATTTATGTGCAATTTTCTTGAGAATGCTGAACAGAACAGATGTATCAATCTAGATGTGCTTCAATTATTATTCCTTGTATAGAGACAAACACAAGCTAAAATATAATCTGGGGCAAACGTGATTTTCTTCCAGCATTTCTGGTTAAAATTCACTTGTAGGAGAGTGACGGAGAATAGCTCAAACACAAGTGCCTCATCTTAGCACAAGTCTCAGGTTCAATATTGGCCAAAATGATTACTTCATTATAGCGTATGGGTCTTTCTCTGTCCTCAAGGTTTGAGATCAATTTCCTATGTGAACACGATGACAGAATAGCCTTCCATTTCAACCCCCGCTTCAATGAGTCAGATATCATCTGCAATTCCTACCTGGCCAACCACTGGGGGAAGGAGGAGAGGTGCAGCAATCTCCCCTTCGGAGTAGAGGAGCCTTTCCAGGTGATAAAGCGTCATGAGAACATTTGGTTGTACACTTTATTTTATGGTGCCATTGTTACAGTGTAATTATATATTTAAGTACTGAGTAATAATAAGCAACTACATGTACTTATAGGGTTAGGGTAGGATTAGGGTTTGGTTGAGGGTTAGTTGCATGTAATTATGCATCATTTACTGTTAGGTAAGTACATGTAACATGTAACAATGACACTGTCTAGAAAAAAAAGAAAAAAAAATTCGGTAACACTTTATTTTACAAAGTATCACCAGAAACAGGAATTTTGTTTGATTATGAGTGAGTTATTTAATCAGCATCAACTCCCTGTTTCTCAACAGATTGAAATTTACTCTGACAATGATAACTTCCATGTTTACATTGATGAAGTCATGGTGATGCAGTATAAACACCGTGTGGAAGAGCTGAAGACCATCACAAAAGTACAAGTGGTGAACGACGTCAATATCTCCTCTTTGGAGATCACCAAAAAACACTTTTTCTGAGGGTGGGCGGTAAGGACAAGCAGGCGATTCATTTGGAATGAGCCGTTTCTTTGTTTACAGTGTTATTGTTTTTTTGCATTTCTGTTTACACACCTTTCATGCCTCTTGAGTTCATCTGCCTGTAAAGGTGTGATTATTGGTATTGACATACCTTAGCTGAACAACTACATATTCATATGAATCTGTGAATAAATGAGAGGCTTAAAAAAGATTTATGAAAGACTCGTCTGGTCAGAGTGTTCTGGGTGACTTCCTGGTTTCATCAGTGTCCAAAAAAAAAAAAAAAAAGATTCTGGAGATCCATCTGGGCCGACTTATGAGAAAATGTCCTAAGAAATCAATACTAAAGATATGCTCACATCTCATCGAATAACAACACAAACATCAATAGTCTTGTTGTCTGTCTTTGCACGGAAGCATTTACAGAATAGAAATATAACATGATACATGTACATTACAATTAGCTAAACTGACACTTTAACCAGTTTTCAAATAGAGACATTTTATAATGATTATTAATTCATATACTGTATATACTGTATATACTGTACAAATGACAAATAAATCAAAATATAAACTGGTTACTGGTTATAAACTTTAGATTTTTTTCACTCTCTTTAACAGAACTTCATATGACAAAATATATATACAGTATTGATTTTTATGCTTTACAGTTACAAATGTAGGATTGGTAATTCATTTTTGTAATCAGAAATACTATAAAAACAGTGATATTCTGAAATATTATTAGATTTAGAATACATTCTATGTGAATACGTATTAAAATGTAATGTATTGCATTCTTTAGTGTCACATATCCTTCAGAAATCATTCTAATATGATGATTTGCTGTTCAAGAAACATTTGAATATTTTCAGTTGAATATTTTTGGGAAAAATTTAGTACATTTTTTTAATATTCTTTTATGAATAGAAAGTCCAAAAGCATTTAAAATAGAAGTATTTTGCAACATTATAAAAGGTATATAACAAAAAAATCGTATACTAACCCCCTTTGAATGGTGGTAAGTGGTCAAAAACTTTTTTCAATCAGTGATAATGCAGTGTTCCCATTTTTTTTGGCAGAGTGGCGGTCTATAGCCTGACAGCCACAGGCAGACTAAATATAGCTCGTATAAAGAGCTTTAACAAAGTACATCGCATCATATAATGCTGTTTATAACCTGAAAGCCATTATGAGCTCATAATAGGCTGTTTAATGGCAGAAAATATCTATGTAAAGTATACTTTCTTCAATAGATTTTTGCAAAACTTTTAAGCTGTGCCGAAAAAATGTGACTTTAAAAAATAATCCTAGAAATATATTAATTTGAAGAAAAAAAATGTCTGTGGTTGTGATTGTATTGCACTCTGTGCTTGATGGCGCAGCGTTCTGTGACTTAAGAACTGTCGTGGGTTGTTTTATGGAAATTTTTTCCACTCATGCTCATTAAGTTTGAACCATGGATCACACAAGTGCTGATCAATACCGTCACTCTGGACTACGCTATTGACTCCAGCTCCATTGATCAAATTGTTTGGTGTGCTTGTTTGTTTGTTTTTAAAGCATTTTTGAGCTATATGAGGTAAACATGATTATTATTCAATTGAATTACACAGATGGCCATGTAATCTCATGGCGGCACCCATAATGTGACGACCTTTTCCGTGTAGAATAAACCAAATTTGTCTTTAAAAAAATTATTTTGTAGTCTCTACAAAATCTCTCATTCGGGTGGACAATATAATGGTATTCATCAAAAGTGTAGTTCGTGTCATTATGTGCACAACTTTTTAATTATCAAAACATTGGTGAGTGGATCTTTAATTACGCAGCCTGTGTGTGTGTGCGGGAGCCATGAGGTGAATGAGAAAACTGCTCCCATTACATCAGTGACATGCATCGCCTCCGTCAGCAGAGAGTCGTGTGTGTGTGCCACATCCGCAGACACTCGTTTTTTCCCTTCAGTTGGAGATGAAGGCGAAACACACTGAGGAAGGTCCGTCCTCTGACTGCACCTGCTACTGCACACACATCGGTATGTACTTATATTTCTCTTGATGCGGTTTACATTGTAGATTAAATAATTAATCTAATGCATGACATAAGTAAATAAGGAGAAAGTGACACATGCGTAATATGCCAGTGGAAAATCGCTAATAGGTAGTAGCCTACTATTAAAAACAGCTGGATTTACGACACTATTAAATGTATTATGTTTAAGCAGCTAGTAAAGGTAGATTTATTGTTGCTCCAGATCCTTAATTTCCGAGAGTTTGCGTAATTCACAGTTTAATTTTGAATTATTTTAAAGGAAAATATTATTATTAATACTAGCCTGTGCAGAGAAGTTATTTTTAAAATTATTTCCGAAGCACAATTACACAATGCTCGTTTTCTCTAGTGGTTTTGTTTGTTGTTATTGCAAATACATAGCTCAAAACTGTCTGAAATTAGAATAATTTAGCTAAATTGTATCCTTAAGCAACATCACACAATATCACACACTATTTATTCCGCTTAAGCAGCCGATTTATTGTAACAGTGACTTTTTGTGGTTTGCATAATTCACAATTTAATCTTGCATGACAAAAGAGAAGATAGAAAAGAAAAAATGAAAATATGATATTAAAAGACAGAGTTATTTGAGTTATCTATCATTGATCAGGCAAGTCGATTTTAAGGCGCACAGTTTAGTCAATGCAATTGCTCGGATTTCTTGTTATCTTGTAATTTAATTTCCCTCCTAATGTGTGCCATGTTTCCGTAGAGGGCGGTTGGCTAAATGATGGATTTCATTACCTTACTCGTTTTGGCTGAAGATGAAGATGCCTTAAGCTTTAGTACTCGACTCTGGGATGCCTGAAGCAGACCGCGTTTCAAAACATCACTGAATCTTTAAGGGAAACAAAAGGAATATGAATTTCACTGCAGGTTTGCTGAAAAGGGAGCATATGCTCTTAAACACCTTGCTGTCGTTGAATGTCTCTTTCCACGGTGCCGAGGACTTCATGAGCGATGTTTACCTCCACCAGAGTGGAGAGCTGGAGAGACTGCTTCTGCTGACGATCAAAGAGCCCACCACCATCGCTCTCACGGTGATGTATTCATTATCATTCGTGGTGGGATTCATTGGAAATCTAATGGCCATTCGAATGCTTACCTGCCAGAAGAGTAAGAGGCTGCAGAGCATCAGTGCCACCCGGAATTTACTCGTGAACCTGGCAGTGTGTGATCTGATGGTGGTTTGCATCTGCATGCCCATCACCCTCGGCCACACCATTTACACCGCTTGGGTGTACGGAGACCTCCTCTGCCGGGCCGTTCCCTTCATCCAGGCCGTGTCCGTGTCGGCCAGCGTCCTCAGCCTGACCGTCATCAGCGTCAACAGATACTACAGCGTTCACAGCCCGCTGAATTCCCTCTCGTACTTCACCCAGAAGAAGATCTACATCACCATTGTGTGCGTGTGGGTCTTGTCCTCTGCCATTTGTGCGCCTTTGCTCTTCATGATCAAGCTGGACAAGATCCACTTGATCGACATCGCCGTGCCAATCTGCCGAGAGCTGTGGCCGCAGGCTAGACTCAAGCAGGTCTACAACGTGCTCCTTTTCGTAGCTCTCTACTGCATCCCTGTGACCTTTAACCTCATCATCAGCTTCCTGACGGGCCGGAAGCTCTGGAGGGCTTCTCAACATTTCGCGGACTTCGATCCGCACAGCCTGGCCATACACGCCTCACGTCTGAAGATGCGCAAGAAGATCGCCAAGGTGGTGGTCACTTTGGTCCTCCTGTTCGCCGGCTCCTGGCTCCCGCTTTACGTGGCAGACATCCTCATTGACCACGAGGTTCATCCCCCTCACTGGGTTCTGCAGACTCGGCCTTTTGCACAGTGGTTGGGCCTTACTAACTCCAGCCTCAATCCCATCTGTTATTGTTTCTTGGGCGATTTGTACCGTTCTGCCAGAGCAGTCAGGTCCAAGTATCATCAGAGGATGCTCTCTGTCTTTAGATCCTCCCGCTCTTTTAAACTGTCCAGTTTGCTCTCACACAAAACGCAGAAAACTGGCCGGCGACAAGGTGCCGTGAGCCAGGTGTCAGTTGAGACTCTTTCTGACTGGTGTTCCAACAACAGCCAGATGGTTTCTCTCCAAAGCCTCTCAGAGAAGATAACGTCTACAAGCAATCTCGAATTATCGAACTTGTAGTAAGGGCGCATGTTACCTGAAAGCACTTAAAGGGATTGCTCACCCAAAAACATCTTTTGTGTTCCACAGAGGAAAGAAAGTCATACAGGTTTCGTACCGACATGAGGGTGAGTAAATAATGACAGAATTTTCATTTTTGGGTGGACTATCTCTTTAAGTATTGTTCATTTGTCTCGCAGTACTGTCAAAAAGCATGTGATTCGAATGTAACATGTAGCTTAGTTTGTGTTCGTATCCATCCATCCAGTTACATAGCATTATCACATACACATACAGTGTGACTTCATGTAAATAAAGAGCACTGTTTTGTAGACATCACTGATTGTACATAAATTCTGAATTAAGACCAATATTCGCATGCAAAAATGCGATAACAAATGTGATAAACAGCTATGAACAGCTATTCAGACAAAGTTGAACATTCACATGCAGTTAATGTGGCAACTTCTTTTACAGAGAGGTGTTCTAAACTCTTTTGACTCACATTTCGTCCAATTTAAATGCACATTATAGAAAAATAACCCTAGACAAGCAGCCAACACAACAATGATCAACACTCATTAAAGTTTAGCTACTTGAAAACAAGTATGCATTGCACTGCAAAGACTGTTACATCAAAGAGCTATGACTTGAGCAGACTATTTTTCTAGGTGACAGTGAATAGCATACAGAAAGGATCCAGATCTGGCACTCATTCTTTGTAGCCTACACTTGTATTTGGTGTGGTTTGATTAAAAACAAATTAAAAAAGCAAATACAAAAATCTGAATGGCTGTTTGAGTGAAACTTCCTTTCTTCTCTGTGACAGACAGGTGTCAGAAATGGAAAGTTGTGCAGCGCTGTGTTTTTAGTTTTTTTTTTTTTTACTCTTTGGAAATGCGAAAATCAGATTTTTCTAATTTTCTTCCCAAACATTTGTGTTGGTGTGAACAGGCCTTTAATAAAAAAAAGCAGGACAGGTGTATTTTAAATCATGGGTTTTCAAACTGGGGTCCGGGGCCCCACAAAGGCCATTAGCAGCTAAACAGAACATTTGCATGAAAAAAAAACACAACATAACCAGGACTCTCAGTTAACTAAATATATTAATTAAACATGTTTAACGCAGTAATTTTAAACACATTCACCAAATTGAATATTCATACTATTTCATTATTCTTTCTAAATTGACATTGTTTTGTGAAAATATAATTATTTCCAAGTGGCCACTTGGAAACATACAAATATGTTAAAGAATAGTTTAGTATTTGTGTCATTCTACAGAGTTTTTCTTTGCCTCTGTTGCCTTTAGCTTGGTTGTAAGGCAATATAAGCTCATTTATAAAGCTGTTTAAAATTATATTTGTTGTGATTGTGAAAACTGCTATTGCATTGAAAAGAAAAAGAAATTAAAATGTTTCAGGTTATGCATCTAACTGTTCTCTAGCAGTTAGAAAGAATACACTGTCGACTAATTGTGAATTTTCCAGATATTTGAATCACTTGCTTTGGCTTTAGAACAAATACAATATAAAAGCCAATTATTTCATTGTTCTTATAATATCATGTTTAATATTCAGTGTAAATGGGTATTTACGTACACTGTCCAGTCAAAAAAAGTCGCTTTTTGGATTTAAATGGGCAAACGCTTAAGAGTTTATGTCATTCTCATTGTCATCCTGGAATATGTTGTTTACATGGTCGTTTAAGAAATGAAAAGCTTCACACTCCATCAGTTAGGGTTAGAAGAACTGTCACCAAACATTTAACATGCTAGAAACATAATAATCACAGCAATAATGATCCAATCATAGACAAGCATTTGCCTATTTAAATGTCATCATATTAGGGTCCTTGACTTCAAAATGTTTTGAAAACCCTGTTTTAAATTATGGTGGATACAAAAAAAATGTAGAAAATGTATAGTGTATTACATCGATTTGTCATACTTTCTCTATAAACAATTAATCGTGTACATTTTCATTAATTCAAATTTGTAATTTGGGTGCATGAAGGATGCAATTTGATTTTAATTAAATGTACTGTGCTTGATTGTGAATAATCATTTGTACTTTTTTAATGGAAGCCAATGTGAATAGAATCAGAGATGGTTCACTAAGTTAACCTGGCCTCCGATTTTTGATGGGAACACACACACACACACACGGGAACACACACACAAACACAAGAAGAGAATACAATGAATTAAACAACCTTCGCCTCTTCATTTCTGTTTTCATGACACTTTGTGAGATTTACAAAAGCAAAAGATGGACTAAACAGAATTCATAAAAGTCTGAATGACAGTGGGAACACTACAATAACAAAAGAGTTTGCATGACGCCGTAATCCTCATTCAAGTAGCCTATTCATAGTCATGAATCCTTGTCTCAGCAAGAGCTCCATCTTTGCCTTCCACAGACACTAGCATTGCCCTTCATATTCATGTTAATTCTCATTAGCAACTGTCACATCACTCAATCTGCAGAATAGGGCTTGATTAGCCTATAATACGCAATAATGGTATTTCACTTTAGTAAGAACGAGCGACTACTGAGAGCAGAGTTTGGAAGCTGATGAATAGTAATTTTGTTACATACTACAAACCGCAGCAGTTCTTAACCCGAGCTCAGTAGCACGTCTTTCACAGGAACTGGGTGTTATAGAAAGTATAAGGAGCACTCTTTGGATTAAAAAAACTACAACAACAACCCAGAATCAGTGAATATCTTGAAGATAGTATTATCCCCAGATGCGCTGACATCAAATACGTTTTATAATCTGACACATTCTGCATTCATATTTCCATTGCACACCAAATTCAAATAAAATTTTGTAATCCAAACCTGATCCATGGTCATGAAGAACTGCAAAACGTACATGTGATGTAATAACAATGTAACATCCTGACCATAGATGACACAAAATCTCATCTCAGCACTTTTGATACATGACTGAATTTTTTTTAATTTTGTCATTCCATCCGAATATCACCATTTGTGAGATTTAGTCAGCCAAACCAGTTTTGAGGTTAGTTGATCTATTTTTGTGTCTCTGGAAATCAACGTTTGTTGTGTATATTTGTTAATGAGGGATTTGTGAACACATTAAAGTTTTTAGATTTGTGGAGTAACAGCCCGTTCTCATCCCAAGGCGTCATCTAACTGATGCTTTTGACCATGCGTCAACATGCCGACGCACATGGTACCCCTTAACCCTCTGGTGTTCTTCGGTCGTTTCCGACCGGAATTTTTTAAATAAAAAAATGTTAAAAATCGTAGCTTCATCGGAATGGTACGAAACTTGGTGACTTTTATGGTACTTAGTATATGAACACACAAAAAAATTGGGGACATGATTTGAAAAGTCTAAGTGGTCGTAAAAAAAATAGTCACACTCATGGCCTTCGGTCAAAAATGACCGGCCATAGGATATGAATGGGAAAATGGCAAAAATATGAAAATACAGAGGTTTTTTGTGCGTACAATCTACAAATCAGCCACGATGCAGAAAAAAAGCACAACACAGTGAAGGGGTGAATCTCTAAAACATCAAGAGTGCAAAACAGACAAATACACTCACACACACACACACTTATACACACAAAAACACACGCACACACAAATAAACGTGTGTCATTGCAAAAGCTAATTTTGGGAAATGTGTGAAATAAAGCAATTATTCATCAATGTAAGGAATAAAAAGCACACAGATATGAAAGCATGAGACTGTAAGCCATCAAGGTTGCAAAATAGACATGCTCACACACACACACACACACAGACACAGACACACACATAGGGAAATATGAGACTGGTGAAACTGTAACAGAGAAATGTGAGAATATGTGAAATCAAATCAATGAATCAAATAAAGGGGAGACATTGGGTCCAAAATGCAAAGGTCACACACTATGTCTCTCTCTCTTGAACACACGCACACACACACACACACAGTGTAAGATCAAACGATGGAATTCTTCCCTAGTAACCTCCAGGCCTATTGCAGCACATATGTGCTCTTTTGATGTGTTTATTAGAGGTTGAATTCAAATCAAATACTGTCAAACTACCCATACTACTTCTGAATAGGATGTCTACTTCATAAATTGTATGAAAATTATGGAAATACATGGTTCAGATCACTCAAAACATATATGAAAATGGAGGCGCCCTTATATGGTCAGTAAGGAAGCTTGGCGTTCCATGCATCTAGTGAAAAAGTTTGGTATGCGCCAAAATAAAATCTTGACTGAAAGCTTATTTTTTGAGATATCAACCTAAAATTTGGAACACAACTTCTTAAGATTTTTGGCTTTCATTTTCTTGCAGTTTTAGAGTAAAATATATTTTATAATATATATATTTTATATAAAATATAAATAATAAAAATTTTACATTGTTCATTTTTATTAACTCAAACTTTCATAACTTTTTTTCTGTTTCACTTTCATAATTTCTTTCACTTCTACAATAATCTGGCAAATGTCTTCTTTAAAACAAGACCAACCATAGGTCTATATTCCAAAGCATTCTTGAATTACAACAATTTAAGTTTGGATAGTGATTTTCATGTCTATGCGAAAATAATATAATTTTTATTTTATTTTTAAAAAATAAAATTAAACAACCAAACAAACAAAAAACTTGACAAAAATAGTCTTTGAGAATCACTTATTATAAATTAAAATCCACAACCTGAAAAAAATAGGCAAATATGTGCAAAAACAACTAGAATTCACAAGCCTTTCTACAGAGGCTGTAAATCCATCTAGTGGTTAAAATATGATATTGCATGATAATTATGCTCACTACATCCACCAGATGGCTCCAATGTGATTTAAAAAAATGTTTTCTATAGGCCAAGGATCCACTTTAACCTGAAATACAGCATTAATTAAAAAATAATAAAAATAATATATATATATAAATTTTCTATTATATTCAATGGGAAAAAATTGATCATAATTATTGCATAAATATTAATTATTTTCATAAAATTCTCTCAAAACACAAAAAAGAAAAAGAAAAAATATTATTGA